TAAAAAAAAAAAAAATATATATATATATATATATATGTATATATATATATATATATATATTATTTTTTTTTTATCCATCATGATTATTGATTTATATTGTGAAAAAGTTGTCTCTGTATAATAATTGTTTCCAAAAGAGGGTTTGAAAAAATTTAATTTTTGGAAAGACCTGCATTGGTAAATCAGTTACATCAGTAATAAAGTAAATGATAGCATATTGCCATATTGTTAATATTGTGAATAATTGTGTCTGTGCTGTGTGTCCGTCAGTGCCGGTGTGGGCAGGACAGGAACATTCATCGTCATCGATGCCTTGATTGACATGATGTACGCAGAAAAGAAGGTGGACGTCTTCGGTTTCGTGTCACGAATACGTGAGCAGAGATCGCAGCTCATTCAGACGGATGTGAGTAGAGCATGTCATTGGTTTTTGCATCATTTCTCATCTACTTATTTAACTTATTGTCATTAAAGAACAGGTGACAGAAGTAGTTACCTAGAAGTCATGCAAGCTTAAAGATGACTGAAAATCTGGTTTGTGTTGTAGTTGCAGTACTCCTTCGTCTATCAGGCTCTGCTGGAGTACTTCCTGTACGGAGACACGGAGCTGGACGTTTCTTCTCTGGAGGGTCACCTGGATAAACTTCACAACACCAGTGCGCCGCTGGACCGCGTGGGCCTGGAGGAAGAGTTTAAGGTGAGGACATTAGTGGTGTGCAGTTGTTGATTCAACAGATTTTTAATGAATTTTTAATGTTGACTTTGCAGAAACTGACAAACATGCGTATTATGAAGGAAAACATGAGGACGGGCAACCTGCCTGCCAACATGAAGAAGAACAGAGTCCTTCAGATTATTCCATGTGAGTTTAAGATCATCTGCATTCATGAAGATCAAAAACCCTGAGTGAATTATGCAGTCTAATCTCAAAACAAACATAAAAGGGGCTGTGAAACATAATTAATGTATTTTTTCGATCTAAAATGTTGTTGTGCGGCTCGGTTTTGTTTACAAGGAAGTTAATCAGAAATCTCTCTTCCTTTTGCTGTTCTGCTTGTATCTTCAGTTCAACATGCATGCAGTTCAAAACACCAGAGGTTTATGCTAGAGGTCAATTTACGTCTTTTCTCATTCATTTGTTCAGATGATTTTAACCGAGTCATCCTTTCGATGAAGAGAGGTCAGGAGTTCACCGATTATATCAACGCTTCTTTCATTGATGTAAGTTTGAATCACTCTTTTCAGGGGCACTGTGTGATGAAACATTATTAACATTGCTTTCTTTCTTTCTTTCTTTCTTTCTTTCTTTCTTTCTGTCTGTCTGTCTGTCTGTCTATCTATCTATCTATCTATCTATCTATATCTATCTGCCTAGCTATCTATCTATCTATCTATCTATATCTATCTGCCTAGCTATCTATCTATCTATCTATCTATATCTATCTGCCTAGCTATCTATCTATCTATCTATCTATATCTATCTGCCTAGCTATCTATCTATCTATCTATCTATATCTATCTGCCTAGCTATCTATCTATCTATCTATCTATATCTATCTGCCTAGCTATCTATCTATCTATCTATCTATATCTATCTGCCTAGCTATCTATCTATCTATCTATCTATATCTATCTGCCTAGCTATCTATCTATCTATCTATCTATATCTATCTGCCTAGCTATCTATCTATCTATCTATCTATATCTATCTGCCTAGCTATCTATCTATCTATCTATCTATATCTATCTGCCTAGCTATCTATCTATCTATCTATCTATATCTATCTGCCTAGCTATCTATCTATCTATCTATCTATATCTATCTGCCTAGCTATCTATCTATCTATCTATCTATATCTATCTGCCTAGCTATCTATCTATCTATCTATCTATCTATCTATCTA